TCGGCAAATCCGAGTGAGTCTCATGCTAGTTAATATTTGATGCTCTCAAATTTGCAAGATCCTCATTTTCCTAACTTAAGATTTCAATTCAGGCAAACAGAGGTGTGCTAGAGAACTAGAAGCTCTTGATGCGATGGAAACTGAATGCTTGGCGTGGCAGTCTGGAACACTCCGAGGTCAACGTCGAGGCTCGTCGCAGCCTCGCATTCGCGCTTCCAGAGACAGGACAATTCGCACTCCTTTTCTTGTCCGTGTCAGCCAAATTCGAGCTCATCGCTCACCCCTGTCAACACGACAAAGAAGCAACCGCAGAGGAATGGAATGGTTTGATTTATAGGTGAAGAATGTTCTTAACATTACATTAAAATCATACTCTACTATAGAATCAATCTCCATGAGGGCGCTGATAGGCTGTGCCTTCAATCAATTTGTACCTTATCATGTCATTTTGACCCAAGCGTTTTAAAAGTTTCTTTTGTCGGGTTACACAGACTATTCACAGAAGCGTCTCTAATTATTCAACAGCTATTATGCCTTTTGAAGAATACAACTCTCCATCTTGTACCTTGTTCGTGTATATAGACGTTTTTCTTAATACTTTTTCTTTAATGACAAAGTAAGAACCGTGTCACCTCGGCATTCGATCGAACTCGCGCTTCATCTAATATGAATTATAGCCCTCTCTTAAATCAAACGAACATCTACACTTTATGCTTTCAATACTGCCATTTAGACATTCCAAAAACTCTAAAAGAGCTTTGTCTAAAGGAAGTCAGTTTTCTCCATATTTGGTGCCGCTTTGTATCTATTGTATTGGTCTCCATCTCTCTGATCTATGTGTTTAGTGTTGCATGCGCAAAAATTGTTCTTTTTCGATCCGGATTAGCCTTTTTATGTATATCTCTGTACAATGTGTTTTTATAAAAAGTACTGCTTTTGTTCTGCATCCATCACAGCGCAGTATGCTAAAAAGATCGAATTGAACAACAGCAGTGCGTTTGCAGCAAGTACAAACAATTTATAGATGATAGCTTAGAACACGTATGCACAAGAAATCTGGGAATTGTACAGGACGAACTAAATTTCGAACACGT